GCAAGTAACATTCGTACCACAAAAATTCCAGGCTTTGATTATCCCGAATAAGAGACAATCTCACCAATGCCCCATGACATTCAATGGTGTCACTATCACTGAACCCCCCCCCCTCCACTATCAACATCCTCACAGTTACTATTGACCAGATACTCAACTGGACTCACCACATAAACACAGTGGCTACAAAAGCAGGTCAGAGCCTAGGAATACTGTAGTGAGTAACTCACTTCCGGACTCCCCAAAGCCTGTCTGTCATCTACAAGGCAAAAGTCAGGAGAGTGATAGAATACTCTCCAATTTCCTGGATTGTGGCAGCTCCAACAACACTCAAGAAGCTTGGCAGCATCCAGGACAAAGAAGCCCACTTGATTGGCATCCCATCCACCACTGACACTCAGTAGAAGCAGTGTGTACCATTTGCAAGATACATAGCAGAAATTCACCAAAGATCCTTAGACAGCATGTTCCAAACCCATGACCACTTCCACAAGAGCAACAGATACATGGGAACACCACCAAGTTCCCCTCCAAGCCACTCACCAGCCTGACCTGGAAATATATCACCATTCCTTCAGGGTTGCTGGGTCAAAATCCAGTAATTCTCTCCCTAAGTGCATTGTGGATCAACTTGAAACATGTGAACTGCAGCAGTTCAAGAAGGCAGCTCACCACCACCTTCTCAAGGGCAACTAAGGATGGGGAATAAATGCTGGCCAGCCGGTGATGCCCATGTCCCATAAGTTAATTTTAAAAAAGTTTGGTATCCCGGTTTCCCAACCAATTAACTGGAGTGGATGTTGTGATGACCATCATGAGTCAATTTCTTACTTGCTTACAGGAGTATTTCAAGCGTGAAATTTGGTAGATTTTGAAGCTGGAGGTGGAAGAAAGTGAGTTGATAAGAATGGAGTACATAGTTTTAAAGACTGCACCTTGTTCGAGTGACACCTCCCTGATGTTTGGAACTCTAAGAATCTACATGGATATACTGTTTCTGACTGAGGAATATGTTTGCAGTGAAGCAAAGAAGGCATAGCTGGAGTTGCAGCCATGTGGTTTAAAGACCCAAACAGAGCAGTAAAGATGAGTACAGTGGTACATTCACTTAAATTCTGATGTGTGTAACATACCAAACCCCTCAGTCTGCCTTCTGAAGCATACTCCATCACAACACTTGGCACAACAAAATGCTTTGTGGATACATCGCTTTTTTTATCTGAAACTTTCTTGTATTTCAATCTATCCATCTACCACTGATATTCATTCTCTTTCTCATGCAACTTTATGCCTCCCCCTCATTGTCACCCTCAACAAATGTTTTCCACTAATCTGTTCAGCAAAGGTGATTAAATTTACTCATAGTCTTCTTTCGCTCCTTGCAAGATAAGAGAACACAGAACAAGAAGATGCAAAAACCCAGAGATGTCATTCCAACAATCTTGCAACAGATAACTGCAGAGGGTGAAGTGTTGGACATCAGTGAAATCTCAACATGTTTGGCCATCAGGGACAGGGAAATGCAGACATTAAGCTACCTGGTGAGAGAATGAAATATCAGACAAGATCATGGCATATAGTACTTAATTGTGTTGATTTGATGTCAGCAATGAGTGAAATCTGATAAAATACATACAATACTTTGGTATTGTATCAGATTGATCAGTTCATTTCACATGAGTGCTGTGATCGTGCAGAATTCTAGAGGTGTTTTTAGCCTTTCGTTCCAAAATTTGTCTTTTAAAAGAGGAGTGTTACAGAGACAAAATAATTCCAGGTGTAAATTCAGTGGCTGGCAGGTTAAAAAATGTGTCTGGATCCATTAGGATGAAATACCTAAGGTGTCAAAGAAATTTCAAACAGATGGGACTGTAATTATCTGTAACTGCAAAAATAATAAGGGACTGAAAAACCTCTGCTGAACAGCAAGCCACCCGTGGCAAACTATGTCCCAAATTGCTGACACATTTTAGATTTTTCCATTTGAAGAATAACCAAGTATATGAGTTAAAAAGTCAGTTTTAACTCCACTGGAGTTTGCTAATGAGACTAAATGTTCTTGTGTCATCATGTGGCTTTGAGTGTAGGTGTGCAGGAAAGGTCACAGTTGAAGAAGCATCACCTAGTTACCCACTGTGTTGCAGATAAATAACCTCTCACCCTGATGATAGAAGTCACCTATCTAGTAGCCAAATAAGAGGGAAAAAAGGCAACAAAAGGACTTTGTTTAATTCTGAATGCTGGACTTCGGTCATGGTCGAAAGGAATCAGAACTACAAAATCTCAACCAGTCTGCAAAACCAGGGATCTTGAAATCAAGTGTTTAACCACGAACATCAATGGCTGCATTCATTCATCTATACATTTTTTTCTGAATAGTTCAGAGACTGATCCATTTGTTAAAAAGCTTTTATCCTTGTGAATCAACTCTTATTTCTTATTTGTGTGTACGTGTGTTGCATTGTTAATTCTTGTTTTACTTAGTAATTCATAAATTCACTTTTTCATAAGAAAGCCTGGTTGAACAGGTTTCTTTTTAAACATAAATTCATTTGGATCTGGGAGAAAAGCTATCCACAAGGGAAGGGATCCTTTTAAAATAAATCTTGTTGTGAACAATTGAGGGAGCAGGTGAATAAAGAAGTTGGGGGTGGGGGTGCAGTTCATCACTCCTCACTCAGGAGATTAACATGTTGGGTATTCCATCTGGAACTACAACAAATAGGGGAACTTCACCCAAAGTCTGATCATAACAACAGCCAAAGAATAGTCTGCTTTAAACCAAAGAAATTAGAGAGTGTGCACTGCCATAGGTTAAAAACATTATGGCTGCTGTCTTGGAATTGTAGCTTACCTAAGTACCTTTGTAATTGTACACAAGCTGCACATGGATAGAGTGGAAGGGTTTAAGGTTGATCTGGGCATGTCTTGATTGCCACATCTGTGCAGTCAATGATGCCTTGCATGTGTGGGAATTCAGCCAGAGCTTCAAACCCAGTGCTTACTCATTCTGACTGGTACCATCTCAGGCAAAGTTAACATTGATGTTGACTCTGACAAATGAACAGTCATTCACTTATTTTGCACATTTATTGATTTCCAAATGCAAGATCCTGCAAATGTTTCCTGCTGAACGCTGGAAGGATCCAAAGGCAAAGGCTTTGGTGGTAGTATTGACTTTGGGAGCCCACTGGGAAAGCATAATCACTGGTTCCACTTGAAGCACATCTCATTCCAGCAGGTTGCAAACATTTGCAATGACCTTACTCGAGGTCCTGTGTGTTCTGAGACACTGGTGTTCCAACATAGTGAAGATCCTATACTCTGTAGAACTTTCATCAATGATGTGGGGTCCTCTGATTTGCATTTCTTTGATGATCCCCTCTGCTAGGAGTTGCAGGTCTGTGAGGAACAGACATTGCTGCTTCTGCTGGTGGTGCTACTGCTTCAGTGTTCTCAAAGCAGGTATTCTTCTTGCTGCTTCTTCTCCTGCTGGTTTTGTTGTAGCTACTGGCCACCTTGGTCCTTGTATGAGGTTCAAAGGAAAATCATGTACACTGCATCAATTCTCATCTGACAGTTTAGAATTTCAGAATGGAGATCAGTGATGCATGTCTTTGTAGTTGCCAAAGTGATACCTCAGCACAAGGAGGTAGTAACAAATAGCACAGTTCTCTGTCTCCAGCCTTCTCAATTACTGTTGAATTGTAGCCTTGCTCTCAGTGGTCCAAGAAGGCGGAGAACCACATTAATGCACCATTACATTGCAAAAGTCATGTTATTGTTGCTATACGTGAGGGATTAATATATTGAAATTGGCCAACTGCCCCCTTCTGAGGAGGTGTTCACATGTAGTCTAACATATTACAGTTAAACATGGTGGTCTACTGCCTGAAACCATCTTCCTAATGCGCTGCCAATTTGCCAGTTTTAAGCTGCTTTCACCCAACTGCTTTCAAACTCAACACTTCTGCACATTAAACTTGAGTCTCTCCTTATCAATTTGGGTTTGCACATTAAACTTGAGTCTCTCCTTATCAATTTGGGTCTGCTTTTCCATTTCTGTCATCTTGACAATGGCTAAGTATAGGGACAACCACAAATTACAATGTTCACCTTCACTGTTGTATCTGTTCTCCTGTTGAGATAATGTAAGAAATCACACAACACCAGGTTATAGTCCAATTTGAAATCACAAGCTTTTGGAGCATTGCTCTTTCATCAGATGAAGTCCTGATTGGTTTAGCTCAGTTGGCTGGATGGTTGGCTTGTGATGTTGACAGCATGGGTTCAATTCCCATGATGGCTGAGGTTATCATGAAGGACTCTCTTTCTCAACATCTCCCCTCGCCTGAGATGTGGTAGCCCACAGGTTAAATCATCACCAGTTGTCTCTCTCTAATAAGAGTGCAGCCCTATGGTCTGGTAATACTATGATGAATGGTGTGACTGGCATTGGCCTCTGCACATTAATGCCTGTTATACAAAGAGCTGTTACAATATGTTTAACCTCAAACTGCCCTCTTCAGTTTTGTTTCATAATTAAGAACAAGATCCGACTTGGTTTCTCCAAGGCATTTGCAATACCATTTAGCTACAATAGCATTGAGAAGGATCAGTGGTAAATTCTGCTGGCATGCTCCCTTCTCCACAATTTCAAAAAGACCTAGAAATTGAGATCCTTGAGGAAGAGACTGAGTCAAAGCTGAACGCTGTGAAACAAGACAGGGCATAAGGAGAATATAGCAAGGTCACAGCCAACTGTCAGACAAATACAAAAACAGAATTTGCTATGAAAATCTCAGCAGGTCTGGCAACATCTGTGTAAATGAGAGAAAGCAGAAAAGCAGTTAACATTTCCAGTCCAGTGACCTGGCTTCAGAAACCTTTTTCAGAGTTTCATGTACAGTAATTTGGAACATTCTATTTGTCAGTAAACAGAAGTGACTTGAGGATTCCTTATCTATGAATATCCATTTTGGTTTCAGTGCACCGTTTTCATGGACATCTGTACATCATTTCTGAAAGCAACAAACATGTAAGGACTCTGAAACTTCACACGGGTTCTTTTAGGCTCAATACTGTGCACTATCCTTTTATGATTTTTCTATTTTCACTTCATCCTATTTAAAAACTGATTTAAGTGTCACCTGAGGATATGAAATTTGGATTGCAGCTCTATTTGACCACAAAGATCTTTGGTTAGCACTTGTTTCAGAATATCTTCTATGATCTTTGAGCATTAGTATTTGTTCTGCAGAACCAGCAGCTCCTTCATGGCCTCCCAAGTCTTCTTCTCCGATCATCTCAGTTGCCTGAGATGCCAGGATTTCAATTGCAACCACCACTTGCTGGGTTGTTGGATGAACAGCTGCTGTTTTTATTCCCTTTAAGCTTGCCATTACTGCATATTTTGTGTTTCTTACTGCATAAAAGAGAATGAATCTTTCTTTCACTCACTGAATGGCTTATTTGACAACTATTGGAGAATTTGTAAAATTTGAATTTTGGGCTTGGGAAGGTACAATGCAATACTGGTTATTTACAAAGCATCTGGGAAGCTGGCTGTAACCCATCAATTATTTCATTTAGTTACAATGGATAATTCTGGGGGTAAGAGGACCCCCTCAAGGAAATTGTCAATTTAAATATGTTAACAAGTGAAGACAAGCTTTATAAATCAGAATTTTCAAATTTAATTGTGGGTGCACAGGTTTCCTGGACTTCCTAGATCTCACTTGTGGAAAAAAGATGAGAAGAAATGAAAAATCCACCATAACTACTTAAACTACATAGCTGCTTCCTTACCTAATTGAGTATAAGGCTTTGCTCATAAAAATTGGTCTGAGAGTTTACCTTTGCTATTCTATATACATTGCAGATCACTTTAATGACATTTGTGATGACAGTTACTATTTTGATTTGTCTGACCTCCAATTTGTGTCTGTGATATATCAGATCAGCATGGGTACTGCTTATGCTAAATTAACTTGGACCACAGATGAAACTTATGAAGAAGAATAATGGAATATAGTGACTAGATGGATAGATAGACCGTATTTGAGGATAACTGTGATCAAGATCGTCATTTTGTGTTAAGACAAGGTTGTGTGTGCTGGATGGACAAATGGAGATGTGAAGAAGTGCAGAGTCAGATAGGTAGGTATTTGCTAGTTCAGTTGGTGTGGTAGTGATATGAATGAGTAGGCTTGGGAAGGTAGAGTGGAGATGTTTAGCATAATACAAAGAAAGATATTGTTGAATACACCATTGTCTTCATTATTCCTGCCTTGTTTAGATTATTGAAGCACTTGTTTCTGGTACTGTGATAATATGCTTCTTCTGGTCATCTTCTGAGCAATTTCCTGCCATGCCTTCTTGCTCTCAGTGGAAAGCCAGAGGAAGTATTTCACTGTCAAGCCTCGCAGATCACAGCATCGGAACTCTGGAGACATCAGCAAAGCAAGGTACAGACATGCCATGCTGGACTTCCTTAAGAGGGCAAGATTATTTCTTGTAGATTGTTCAAGTTTATTTCTCAACTGGCTGTGTTAACAGTTTTGAAAAATCTATTCTTAGCACAGCTCTCTTATGGGTTGCTTCAAATAGATTAACACTTCCATTAAATTGTAAAAAGAGGAATGATATAGGAGTAGATAAAACATTTTTACACACTAAATAATTTGCATCTTTGATATTGTTGTTGGTTGATTAAATGTATACTGTTGTTTAGTTCTGTGCTCTTTCCAGTGACTTTATATCCAGTAATTATAGCTTAGCAGATGCATGATTTGAATAAACAAGGACACTCACACTTGGATAAACTTAACTGGCTGGGGTTTTCAAGATATATTTAAATTAAATTATCCTAATATTGGTGGTATATTTACTCAATCATTTTTCATTAGAAGATAACCAGATTATTCTCAGGGGTGAGGTGTTAGGTGATGCTATGAGATCACAAAGGATTATGAAGCTGATATTTTGAATTAGATTAATTAACCAGTGACCTTTCCATACTCCTTTTTAAAGGATCTATCAAAAAATCATTTTAGTTTTGCTCTGGCTAGAGGTTAACTGAACAGTTAGCTTTAACGGTGTATCAGTCCAGCTTCTCCTTCATTGAATACAGTCAGCATCCATGTTCAGCAAACTCAAAATAATGCCTTATTCTGAAGTGTTTCTATCAGTTACTCAACTCCATAAACCTTTAAAATCTTCTTTTCTTTTGGTATCCTGACTTCAAATGCTGACATTCAACAAGTTATCTCATTCTTTATTTTCTATCAGATTGATAACTATTTTTATGTGTGTTAAAATCAGTAATTGCAAGAATTTTAAAACATTAATCTTTTATGAACACAAAAGAAAAATATTAGATACTAGAAATCTTAAATAAAAATATAAAATGCTGGAAATATTCAGCATGTTAGCTAGCATCTGTGGCTAACATTTCAGGGTCTAATGAATGTTCTAGTGAAAGGTCATCAACCTGAAATGTTCAGTCTGTTTCTCTCCACAGATGTTGCCTAATAAGACTGTTAGAAATACATTAGATCGCATTGAAAATCAGCCATTGGCAACAGCAGAATTTGTAGAGAATAGGCCTGCACCCTGTGGCTGGTGCAACCTTTGATTAATCATTAGGTCTATTTCAATAAGAGTTTACACTTTTCTCATGAGTAGTAACTACTTTGTCACTACTACAGGAAAATGAGTCCTTGTTGATAAATTGACAATTTATTTTCACAATTTAAACTCAAAATATTCCAAAGCATTTTACAGCTATTTATATATTTTTCTGGAATGTAGTTGAGTTCATTTGTTCAATGTTTGAACTGTAGTTATCTATAGTCTGTTGTCTTTGCTGTTTGCCATTAGTCAAGCCTGTAGATGTGATTGCTGAGAAACTGGAAGTAGGGTGGAAGGAATAGACATTTTGAAGCAATGATCAAAACTTTTGTTCATGCAATAAACCTGATGTGTGTCAAATCTGCTGAACTCTGAGACACAAATAGAAGCGTAGAAGATAAGAGCAGAGATAGGCCATTCGATCCCTGGAGCCTGCTCTGCCATTCAATATGATCATGGCTAATCATTGACCTCAATGTCCTAATCTCACCTTTACTCCATATCCCTTGATCTCTTTAGCAAAACGAGTGATGTCTACCTCCTTCTTGAAAACAAATGTTATGGCCTCAATCACTTTCTACAATTACAAATTCCAGAGGCTCACCACACTCTGGCTGAAGAAATTTCTCATCTCAGTCCTATAAGTTTTATCCGTAATCCTTAATCTATTTTACCTGGTTCTGGACTCACTCACCATCAGGAACATCCTTTCTGCATGTAACCTGGCTAGTTCCATTAGAATGCTATAGTTTTCAAAGAGATTCCGCCCACATTCTCTAAGTTCCAGTGTATACAATCCTAACCAACTCAGTTTCTCCTCATTTTAGTTCTGCCATCTCAGGAATCAATTTGGTAAACCTTTACTGCACTCCCTCTATGGCAAGAAGACCCTACCTCATAAGGAGACCAAAACTGCAAACACTATTCCAGGTGTGGCCTCACCAATGCCCCATATAATTGCAGCAAGCCATCTTTATTCCTGTACTCGAATCCTCTCGCTAGGAGAGTCAATGTGCAGTTTGCATTCTTTACTGCCTGCTGCACCTGCAATCTTACTTTCAGCATCAGGTGTATAAGGACACTCAAGTCTCATTGAACATCCCTCTCTCTTAACTTACAGCCTTTTAAATAATAATCCGCTTTCATATTTTTGGTACCAAATTGGATAACCTCACATTTATCTACATTATACTGGGGAAGCAATTGCCTAGCGATATTATCTCTGGACTATTAATCCAGAGACTCTAATAATGTTCTGGGGACCTGGGTTCAAATCCTGCCACAGCAGATGGTGGAATTTGAATTCAGTAAAATATCTGGAATTAAAAATCTAATGATGACCATGATTCCATTGCCAGGAAAAACCCATCTGGTTCACTAATATCCTTTAGGGAAGAAACTGTCATCCTTACTTGGTCTGGCCTGCATGTGACTCCAGACCCACAGCAATATGGTTGACTCTGAAATGCCCTCTGGGCAATTAGGGATGGGCAATAAATGCTGCCTAGTTAGTGATGCCCTGATCCCATGCATGAAAAAATATTATATTGCATCTACCATGCATTTGTCTACTCACTCAGCCTGTCCAAATCACAGCGCAAGATCACTGCACCCTCAGAGCTCACCATTCCACTCAGCTTTATGACATCTGCAAATTTTAAGATATTACATTTAGCTCTTTCTTCTAAATCATTAACATATATTGTGAATGGTTGGTGTCCTAGTACCAACGCTGTGGTACCTCACCAGTCAGCGCCACTCAGAAAAAGACCCATTTATTCCTACTCCTTATTTCCTGTCTGCTAACCAATTTTCTAATACACTGTTCCCAATCCCATGTGCTTTAAATTACACATTAATCCCTTATGTGAGACTTTATCGAAAGCCTTCTGAAAGTCCATATAAAACCACATCCACAGATTCCACCGATCAATCCTACATGTACACTCTCAAATAATTCCAGTAGATTTGTCAAGAATGATTTTCCTTTTGTAAATCTATGCTGACTGTGTCTGATTTTACCATTATTTTCTAAGTGCTCTGCGATGAAATTCTTGATAATGGATTTTAGGATCTTCCGCATTACTGATATCAGACTCTGTTTTAATTCCCTGTTTTCTTTCTACCTCCCCTTTTAAATACAGTACATTGCATTAGCTACCTTCCAATCAATAGGAACTATTCCACAGTCTAAAGAATCTTGGTAGATGACCACCAATGCATTCATTATTTCTAGGGCAATTTCCTTAAGTACTCTGGGATGTATTTTTTCAGGCCTTGGAGATTTATTAGCTTTCAATCTCATTGATTTCTTCAACATCAATTTTCTATAGTATAGATTTGCTCCAGTTCTTCCTTTTCAGTAAACCTTCTGTTCCCCATTATTTCTGATACATTATTCATGGCCTCCTTTGTGAGACAGAAGCGATGAATTTATTTCATCAGCCATTTTTTGTTCCCTATTATAAATTCCCCCATTTCTGACTGTAAGGGATCTACATTAGTTTTTGCCAATCTTTTTCTCTTTACGTATCTGTAGGAACTTTTACAGTCAGCTCTTACATTCGCCACAGGCTTACTCTCATACTCGATTTTCCACTTACTAATAAATCTCTTGTTTTCCTTTGTTGACTTCTAAAATGTTCCCATTCCTCAGGTCTTTTTTTTTGCCAATTCGTTTTTTTTTTTGCTTTTAACACTTCACTTGTGAGCTATGGTTTGGCCATTGTTCTCTTTGCATTCTTGCACCAGACAGTAATAAACAGTTTTTGTAGTTCACTCGTTCGCTCTTTGAATGTTTGCTGGAGCTTATCCACTGTCATTCCTTTCAGTAACATTTCTCAATCCATCACAGCCAATTTACAACGCATACCATCATAGTCTCCCTTACTAAGATTCAGGAGCCTAGTCTCAGAATCAACTACCTCACTCTCCATCTTGATGAAGAATACCATCATCTTATGCACTCTTAACTCCAATGGATATCTCATAACAACATGGTCAATTATTCCTTTAATCTCAACAACTGTCAATGAAGATGAAGAATCATTTAAGTTCACTGGTTCCAGTAGCTCTTTTCTTCACTGGAAGATCCAACCTTGTCATCAAATCAACAGAGTTCAAGGTTCAATCCATATTAGTTGCAATGCATATGGACATTGTCCAGGTAGCAGTGACCCACAACTAGGCAAGATTTGTCCACTTCCTCAGAAAGAAGGCCAAGCTGCTCACAGATATCTACATTTGATCTGGCAATGAGTGCTCGTGAAAATTGCAATAATTGAATGATACATATTCCACCAGAGATGTCAGGGAAATCATGAGTCTACAAAACAATATATGACAGCACTCCAGCAGTTGGCTACCAGATGTACATTTGGCACACTAATTAACAAATGACCTGATTCAGGACCAACTGATAGAAAATCTTCAATTCTATAAATTAGGGAACACCTCCTTGGAGAAGATGATATAACGTTGGAAAAAGCTATGATCTTGGCAATACAAACTGAATCCTCAATGTTTGAATTGAAGAGGTCACACAGAAATGCACCTCAGACTCAGGTTGCAGACATGGCTTGGATAACTTGCTCACATGCAAGGCTATGGACAAAGAGACCTCAGCAGTCTCAACAACACATGTTTATCACACTCAGATACCCTCAGAAATATGCCCAAATTATGGAGATACCATCCATTCACAACACCGTGTACAACCCAAGGGAAAAAATGGAACTCATACTTAGAAATTACTTCACGAAATTGAGAAGGTTGACAAAGAATATGACAAGTGTATAGCATCATAGATTGTGCCAAGTCATTTTTAGAAATGCTTATTCAAGATCACAAACATTTAAGTGTTACTCCTCATTGATGTTGGCACAAAAGTAAATTGAACAATCAACATTGCTATCATTAGAACATAGAACGGTACAGCACAGTACAGACCCTTCGGTCCACAATGTTGTGCCGACCTATTATCCTACTCTCAGATCAAAACTAATCTGCGTACCCTTCATTTTGCTATCATCCATGTGCCCATCCAAGAGTCGCTTAAATGTCCCCAGTGTATCTGGCTCTACTACAACCACTGGCAGTGCATTCTCACCCACCGTTCTCTACGTAAAGAACCTACTTCTGATATCTCCCCTATACCTTCCACCAATCACCTTAAAATTATGCCCCTTCATGATAGTCATTTCCACCCTGGGAAAAAGTCTCTGGCTATCCACTTTATCTATGCCTGTCATCATCTTGTACACCTCTATCAAGTCACCCCTCATCCTTCTTCGCTTCAATGAGAAAAGCCCTAGCTCCCTCAACCTTTCCTCCCCTCCAGTCCAGGCGGCATCCTGGTAAAACTCCTCTGTACCCTCTCTAAAGCTTCCACATCCTTCCTATAATGAGGTGACCAGAACTGAACACAATATTCCAAGTGTGGTCTAACCAGGGTTTTATAGAGCTGCAGTATAACCTCGTGGCTCTTAAACTTAATCCCCCTGCCGATGAAAGCCAACACACCATATGCATTCTTAACAACCCAATCAACTTGGGTGGCAACTTTGAGGGATCTATGGACGTGGACCCCAAGATCCCTCTGTTCCTCCACACTGCCAAGAATCCTGCCATTAACCCTGTATTCTGCATCCAAATTCAACCTTCCAAAATGAACCACTTCACACTTTTCTGGGTTGAATTCCATCTGCCACTTCTTTGCCCAGCTCTGCATCCTGTCAATGTCCCATTGCAACCTACAACAGCCCTCTACACTATCCACAACTCCACCAACCTTCGTGTCATCGGCAGACTCACTAACCCACCCTTCCACTTCCTCATCCAAGGCACTTATAAAGACCACAAAGAGCAGAGGCCCCAGAACAGACCCCATGGAACACCACTGGTCACCGAGCTCCAGGCTGAATACTTTCCATCTACTACCACCCTCTGTCTTCTATTGGACAGTCAATTCTGTAGCCAGGCAGCCAAATTTCCCTGAATCCCATGCCTCCTTACTTTCAGAATGAGCCTACCATGGGGAAACTAATCAAATGCCTTGCTAAAATCCATATTCACCACATCCACTGCTCTGCCTTCATCAATGTGTTTTGTCACATCCTCAAAGAATTCAATAAGGCTTGTGAGGCATGACCTGCCCCTCATACAGCTATAATGACTATGTCTAATCAAACTGTGCTTTTCCAATTAATCATGAATACTATCTCTCAGAATCCTCTCCAATAATTTACCCACTATAGGAGTAAGACCGACCGGTCTGTAATTCCCAGGATTATCCCTATTCCCTTTCTTGAACAAGGGAATAACATTTGCCACCCTGCATTATTTTTCATGACATCCTTTTACTCATGCGATAGACACTCTCCCAGTTTACAATAACTTGGTTGTGTCGGTTTTGAGAATGATTGTAATTCTAGCTTAGAAGGTTCACATTCTTTGTAGCCAGAGGCAGAAACCTTGTGGGGAATAAAACTTCTCAAAGAACTTGGCTTTAAAATTGAAGACCCCATCAAAGTACACATTAACATGTTGGATGACACTGACAATTTACAACTGTGTCCTTCCTTATTTCTGGATTTGAAGAGATTAAGGTGTACTGCTCCACTGCTCTGGTTGACAATTCATTTTCACCAGTTTAGCAACATTTTGGATGGTTGCCATTTGGCAATCCTTGCTGAAGTGTTGTGAGTTGAAGTGACTTGAAGGTGACATTTCATTAAGTGAATTAACTCAATCCCATGCACAGGGAACCAAATTATTGTATGACTCAAAAACTTAGACTATGTGTCAACATAGGGTGATCAACAAAGCAATCGCTCCAGATAAATATCCAACTTCTACAATCCAAGAACTATCAGCAACATTGTTGACTTCAAATTCACAATGGCGAATGCAATGGCGGTATCTGCAGGCACTAATAGCAGAGAAAACCAGATATTGTGCAGCTTTCGTGGCTCATGATGGAATATTTTCATACCATCGAATGCTGTCAAAATGTTACTAAGTTCAGCATCAGGCTCATTCCAGAAGATTGCATTTTCAGTCTTGTCAGACGTTGAGAGAAGGGCCAGCCAACTCAACAATGTCATTGTCTGTGTACAGGACAATATTGAAAATGATCACAGTTAGCAGTGGTGCTGAAGACACTCAACAAGGAGAAATGCACGTTCACGTTTTCCAAGGTTTACTTTCTATGGTACAGATTGAAGGTAGTTGGATTAAAGCATACATACAACATTAAAGTTATTCATATGCTTCTGATCACATTTAAAATATAAGAATTGGCATTTTACTTTACTACTACCAACTTTAATCACAACTGAATTCCCAAATAAGCAGAGTTTGTAAGACAAAAACAGATATTGCCGGAACAACTCAGCAGGTCAGGCAACATCTGTGGATGAAGAACCGAGTTAACATTTTGAACCCAGTGACCCTTCTACAGGAGTGAGAGCATCTAGGAAAAAGTGATATTTATCTTGATGGCAGTGGATGGGTGGTAAGGAAGAGTGAGTGGATTGATGGAGACAGAGCTCAGAGAGACGGGGATACTGAGGTGGCAGTTAGATAGACAAAGGGATGGCTGATAGTAAGCCAGGGAAGGAGAAAAGCTGATAATAGGGACCATAAGTAGGCAAAAATGGGTTGGCTGAACTAAACACATGCCTGGTCACAACAGGGCCTGGAGTGTGGCGGGAATGGTGTAAAGGACATGGCAGTAGGTGCTCAGGCTCGAAAATTATTGAACTCGATGTTGAGTCCTGAAGGCTGCAGGTTTCCCAAGCAGAAAATGGGATGCTGTTCTGGCTCTTGTGGTGCAGTGGTAGTGTCCCTACCTCTGAGCCAGCAGACCCAAGTTCAAATCCCACCTGCTCCTGAGGCATGTAATAACATCTCTGAATAGGTTGATGAGAAAATATCCAGCAGAGCTGAGCCTTGCTGGAGCACTGCAGCAGGCTTGAGACAGAAATTTTGGCATGGGAACACTATGGTTTTTTGAAGTGGCAGGTAATTAGAATATCGTTGTGGGAAAATTTTGTGGGAGCCTCTTTGAAAACTAACGTGCAAAGATGCTCAATGTGAGTGGACAATGGCACAGCAAACAGGATTTATTACATTAAAGGGGAAGATAGCGCTTCCGTCTGTTGTCATGTGGAAACATATGTCACAACAGATGTGTCAGGAAACGCAACTGGAGCTGTACTCTTACAGAACATCAAAGAAAGTGATTAATCAATTGCTTAAGTGTCGTGCCTGTTGTTGGAAACTGACTGCAGATGCTCTACAGGACAGTACGAAGTGCTAGCTTGCAACTATGTGAATATTGGTGCATGTATCTCTTGTAGATACCAATCACCAAGCATTGTTAGCTGTATCGGGATTTCATCATTGTCCTCATCACCCATTGGTAATGCAATGTGGAAGGTCTTAAATCCACCTCAGCTGGAACAGGGATCAAATTCTGTTCTGTTTGCATCAATCTGATCACCCACCAGCATCTAGCAAACTGTGCCAACTGAATCAACACCCAGCCTTATCTCTCTCACTCTTACTACCTGCCATTAGGATTTACAACTTAACGCTTAACTTGTTTGGCTGTGTTATGAACCTTCCTTGGCCATCAAGGCCTGAAGTGAGACTTGAATCCAGAGCTTCTGACTACACACTGTTCCATAAAACATCCCTCACATACAGCAGATAGAAAATTTTATATGATTGATGGAGTCCAAATACTTAACCTCAAACGATTAAAGTAAAATGTGTTTTATCAGTTATAATGTGCCACTAACTCATGTTTACATTTTACAGGAGTTTTACTTCAAGTGTGGAAAACATCCAACCTCTGAGAGTGACACATCTGTGGTTTTGAACTTAATTGCTCCAAACAGACAAAACATCCCATGTATAGCCTGTACTGACACTGTGTAAGTATAATACTTATTTAACTGTATTCTTGATGATGAAGGATTTTGATGATATGAGTAAAGTAAATGACAGAACAATACCTCAGGGAAAACTATTCTTTATTTTCTTTATATTCAAAGTAAAATTCCCTCTGTTGATCTTAGAACAGTATTGTTTGCCTTGAAGAAAATGTTTTGCATGTGGATTTGTATTAAAAACAAAAGAATAACAATCTCCTTTCTAAATCTCTGTTAAGTGCTTATTTCTCAGTCTATTCTCCCTGTTCCTCCATTTCTCAGTTACTAGATGCTGATCTTGATGCACTACAGTGATTTTGTTTCAACTGCTTGAAATAATATTCTAAATAATGAAACTAAACAGTGGCTCCTAAAATAGCTACAATTACTTAACTTACATCAATTTCTATTTATATTATGATAAATGTAAAATGGAATGCAATGTTCCAAGGTGCTTCATGAGAGCCTTATTAATTAAGTATGACACTGAGCTACATAAGGAGAAGTTAGCCAGGATTTTACAATTCCTGGGAGCGGTGGTTTCGGTAAAACTGCAGAGAACCAATTCAGATCGGGTACCTGACACTTTGCCACCATAAAGCGTGTAACCACAGTTGGGACAAGATGCAGGGAGGTTGCCTACCACAGGGAACTGGGCAGCTCATATACATTGTAAAGGTCAAATTTGGAGCCACTTCATGCTGAAGGTCAGGTAACCACCCACAATATACAGAGGCTGCCAACTAAGATGCAGCCTGCTGGCATCAACCCAAGAGGGAAGGTCTCACAGGCCAAAAGAATGGGCTGTAAATAATAAAAAGAGCATCCATAGCCCTAATTACCTCCCCAGAATAGTTTGTTCTACACCAGTTGTCACAAGGGCTTTTAATTTAAAAAATATTGGCAAAGCTCCCGAAGCCTCCCGCATTTGTCAGCAATGATGAGCTCACCTGGTAACGTTGCTGAGGCATCAGAGCTGTTGGTCCTGTGATTTGGCTCGCAGCACCAGGAGCATCAGCAGCATCCTTCAATGGAAGGCATGCCACAGGCAGCTGATTAGGAGGCCACCTTTGGTAAAATTACTGGGCACGTCACAATGAGAGTAAATGGGGTTTAGACTTCCTTTCTATGCTGACATCAGGGTCATAACCCCCAGGTAATATGTAGCCAAAAATATGATCAAAAGTCTTGCTCAAGTAAGTAAGTCTTAAGCAGTGTTTTGAAAGAGGAAAGTGAGGTAGAGACGCAGAAAGACATAATCCCAGAGTTTAGGGTCTAAGCAATTGAAAGTGCAACAACTGCTGGCGGTGCAGTTAAAATTGGGTATGCACAGGAATGACCTCCTTCTATTCCATAATGACTCCATGATTCTATGACAGTGCCTCTTATTCACTAATTGGTGTAATTAGCATTTTGATATTTAGAAGATGCCTTGTTATTCAATTAGACAATTATGCTGTTTTTCTATAAATATATTCAGTTTTGCTGATAATGGATTTCCTGAATGGTAATGAAAATTATCACACTGCAGAAGGAAAACTGGAGTGATGTACTGCATTGTGACTTCAAAAAGCAATTTCATTTCAGAACAAATTTCACACATTTTTCATGTGGTGACAATCATTTTAGACTGAAGATTTTATCCTTGCCAGGGAAAAGAACGGAAAGTATTCCATTGCAGTGACTATTATGTACTGATTGAATTGTACTCCTGGTGATACAAATGTGGTTCTAGACATTGGAATGAGAAATGATGAATCTGAACATGACATTACATCAATCTCTTCAGCCTGCAGTATTTGAGAGAAGCTAAAATAGTGATGTTAATTCCAGAGGAACCATCCACTGTAGAGTTTTGCAGCAATTTAAACTGAGTTTATACCTAAACCAATCTGTCTCAACATGCAACAGAAACAAATAACTTCTGTATTACAGTTTGCAATAAGCTGCAACACTCATTTCTTTATTCATTCACGGGATGAGGGCATCACTGACCAAGCATGATACGAAGAGAACTTAGTGGTGCTTTTGACTTTTGAGTAGGTAACTTATTTCTATGATTATTCATTTAATTTTACCCATTGCCTCCTTACCTTCTCCAAAAATGATTTCTGCCTGCTAAATAAAAGACTATCAGCTTTTTGAAAGGCTTTAATTGAACTCTTCACAAAATGCTGAAATAGACAGAAATTGGAATCAAGGATATTCCAAATGTAAGGAAAAATAATTAGCCGTATGCCTCAAACGTCTGTCTTCTAGAGAGCTCAAGTGGTTATGTAGCCTTAGGGGCATTACTCCACACCAAGCATGGCATAAGGAAAAGAGGCAGCTGCCACAAAATACCACAAGCCATTGCAGGAGCTGAACTGTTAGTCATTTTGCATTACTTTATAGCCATCCAGCCAACTGGATTATCCAACCTGCACATTAAGTACATGATGACTTAGTTTATGCCAAACTTCAAATCAGAAATCTAAGTTCAAAACATATCTATTTGATATCATATTAATATTATGATTATGATCAATTCTAATTAAAATCAAATTTAGGATAAAGAAAACTGTTTGTCCTACAGAAGTATAAGATAATCTAAAACAATGTAAAAGTGAAAACATGTAGCCACTTTAAAACACAATGTATCTGACATTGTAGTGACTGTCTTATTAGCTATTAGTCCTCCAAATTGACCATTTGTATATTCTCCAACCTGCTCTTTCTGTTTGGCCAATGCCAGGGGAAGAGCAGGTGGTGGCAGATGAGGTGGTGCAAGCCTCAGATTGTGAACAACTCGGCAGGAAAAATCATCACAGGAGCGCAAGTACACAGTATGCTATGAGGTATTTGGTTACATGTAGAATGGTTAAGACAAGATGAGGAGCACATTTCATGCAAATTTGAGTTCTGACGGAGCCACTATGCTCCAAACTTCATTGCAAACTTGGTCCAAATATGGACAAAACAATTGAATTCCAGAGGTCAGAGTAATAGCACTTTCTTGTGACAATTTGCAAATATGTATATCTGAATAAACCAGTTTAGTTTGATGTTGACTTTCGTGTACTTCACCCTATTTAGTCTACCTTGAAAAGATATCACATTTTGTGACATGAGTGGGGTTTTGTATGTCCTTGGCCAATCAAATTTAATTTGGATAAGATTCCAGTTTAGAGTAAGTTAATAGAGGAATTGAGATGTTTTCTTTTGTTGAGAAATAGTTTTAAAAAGCATTGTTGTTTGTACAGTTGGGTTCCTAACCTTCGAAGATGGCTCCACCAGCAGGTATTATTGAGTGAGTATAGATGTGATTGAGAGGCTGTGTATGTGGAGCAGCTCGAGGTATTTTTTACTGCTAATAATATCCTGGGTGTTCCTGATAGTCCGTCTGTTAAGTAGGGAGTATGGGAAAAGATAAGGGCGACGTTTCTGACTGAACCAGGTACAGAAGTATATGAAACACTGAAGAATTTTCTCAAAAATTAACAAAACTAAGCAGTGAAGCCATTTGAAACATTTTCTGTGAGCTTGAGCAACAGCACAGTCCCAAACCATTGGAGATTACAGAAAACTATCAGTTTAGAACAAGAGATTGGTTACACTGTGAGGATATTAGAGTGTTTATTGTGGCTCTGATAAAGCTGTTCATCCATTGCAATGTTAGGAGAATTTCAAGAGGGAGCAGCATTATGGAACAGATTACCTTCGGCATAATTTGCCAAACAGTACTGTCCATGAATACAACCACCTGTGAGAGGTTAGAGTTAATAACCACCAGTTGTTTGCTGATGTAAATAAACTGCAGCTGAGTAAGCTAAAAACCTCAACTAAGGCTGTTACAAAATCCTGACAGCAATGTTTAGGCCAACATTGAGCGCAGAACTGTCCACCTGCGAATGCAGAGTGCTACAGCTGCAAGAAGGCTTAACTCACCAAGGCATGTTGGACGAAGATACATGGAAAAGTTGCTGGTGGAAAGAAACAGCAGTCCCCGCAAATGATTATGAAAGAACAGCATGTTGATGAGAAGTCTTCTGAGATCCGAAAAGGAACACAAGGATATTACAATAAAAAAAATCACAGAACATCATAGTACGAGTAACAGTTGACAGACATGGTTTTTAGCATGGGAATTGCAGTCACTGTGATTCTTGAATTACTGTACCATCAAAAATCAAGTAAACATCAGTTGGACAAATCACAATGGAATTAAGAAATTATGCAGAAAAGAAAATCTCCATAATGGAAAAGGATGATGGTTTCAGTCACATACAAGGAATAATGGGCAAAATTACTCACTATCATAGTGAAGGATTAGAGACCAGCCTTGCTAGGAAGAACTGGTTAAAATCACTGAAATTACCTGGAATGAGGTATTTCGCCCTAAAAAGGAACTCACAACATAAGGCAATGTGAATAGCAAATTTTGTTTATTGATTTACTTCCGTTTGCTGATGTTTAATAAAACTAGACATTTTATTTAAGTGGTAGTAGTCATAAGTAGCAAGTAAGATTTGTTCCACAACTGTAGTCAAACTGTTCTAGTACAGCTTCAACCCTGGCAACTACCGGACAATGTAAGTCACAGCATACCTACAGTGCAGATAGAGGCCATTCAGTAAATCTAGTCTGCACCGACCCTTTGAAGAACATTCCACCCCCTTACCCTATCCCTGTAACCCTACATTTACCGTAGCTAGTCCACCTAGCCTGTACATCCCTGGACCCTACAGGCCGATTTACCATGGCCAATCCATGTATTTCGGACTGTGGGAGGAAACCAGAACATCCGGTGGAAACCCATGCAGATACAGGGAAAACATTCAAACTCCACGCTGACAGTCTCCCAAAGATGGAATCAAACCCAGTCCCTGGTGCTGTGAGGCAGCAGTGCTCACCACTGAATCACCAGACCGCCTTGCAACAATATAGAAAATTTGGTATGGCCTGTATGCAACAAGCAGGATAAATCGAGTTTGACAAATTATTATCCCATCAGTTTACTCTCA